GCCACTCACCATGAAAACACCTGTGCTTGATTTTCTTCATATTTCTTTCCAAAAATGCACTAAAAAAGCCCCTCATACTTTGAGAGAGACAGAAGAAATATATTTACTACTAAAAGAAGCAATAAATGCGAGATGTGGGATTTGGTTGTTCTCAGTAGTGAAGGAAGGGTCACGGACTGAAGCTGTTTTATGAACCAAATAAACCATGAACCCTTTGCCTTTGTATATGGTATGTGACAAAGTGACTGCCACTCTTTACTAAAAAGCACAATGAGAATGCAAAGAAATAAGGACCTTCCACGCGCAACTACCATGGCATTCTGAACTGCCTTTTCTGTAGGCGGCAAATATGTACACATGTGTGAGTACACAGCTGAGCCCTTTTAAAGAGAAGTCATTTCTTGAACAGAACAATGGACTCCCACGTAGACATTCACCATAACTGGAACTGCTCTTTGCACATTGCTAGGGATTGAAACAATTTGCCATTTTTATTTCACTTCACTGTAAACTTGCACTACAAGTGAATTTCCAGTAGGGCCTCATTTCCACAGACTTACTACAACAGAACTCTTTGGCCCTATGAGCCTGATCTACACTACAAAATATTATTACCTCTGAAAGAATAATTGGTTAGGATAAACAGAGGGTAATACTGATCCTAAGCAAGATTTTCCCTGGTCCACACTGACTGCTTAGGTACAGCAAGGTGTCAGTTAAGTCAATTACTGCAAATATATTCAGTCTCCGTGATATTTTGGACTGTATACCTTGAACTTCTGCTTTCCATAGTGCCTTACATGGCAATATGGTCTGCACCTCCTCTGAACAAACACATCTCATAGGCCATACCTTGACTGGCACTTCAGAAGAAAGTGGACTGCTGCAACCACTGGGGTTTTTTTAAGTACCAGCCAGAACACAAAAGTTCTAACTCAATCAGCAGTTTTATTAAATCATTGGGAGATCCATAAATATGAATATGTACAAGAAACACAGGCTGCAGTGCAAAGGATCAATACAGATAGAGACATTACATTACATTGGTTTACATTAATAAACCAAGTGCCCCTGTGGAGATCAGAACTCATGGGAAGAAGGATAACTATCAGAAACCATTTGTGGATCGAAGAAGGGCTCACTGTGAGCATATCTCCTGACCTGTTGCACTCTTCCAAATACTCTGTTACCATCAGACACTTGAGGCCCAGTTGTTTACAAGCCCTGAAACACGTGAGCTCCTCTGTTCCAAACGATGCTGCTCAACAGGTCAGATTAGCAAGTAGGGTATTTGTTGGGTAGTAGCTAAGACTCAGGACAATACAGCCTGTTAATCTATCTGTCAACGTGCTTAATTTTATTTAAGCAAGGGTTCACAATTTATCAATTAATTTTCCTCTCTCTTCTCTCTCCCCTTCCAAATACCTAATCCAATTGGTGACCCACAGCAAGTTCACGGAGGTTTGCTTTTTTGACAGTTTTGATTAGGGATGGTTGACTGCCCTGCCTGCGTGCTAGCGATAGGTGTGAACTGCTGAACTGCAAGTTGGAGAGACACGTCAGCCTAACCACTTCACTTGCTCTGCTTTAATGAGCTGAAAAAGAAATGGACCCACTTCGTTTAGCAGTGCCAATTTTTCTCTCGTCTCCCATGCAGATCCAAGCATCTCAGTGGCCCTTTGTTTAAAACAGGACTTCAAAAAGATAGAGGAGAGCACATAAACGAAGAAAAGAAACCACATATTCCTACCTGAGCTAAAAGTTGGTGACGGGCATATCCTGCTACTGCTGAAGCCAAGGACAGCATTCCCAGCAATGGGACAATTTCAATGGGGCAGAAATACTAATTTGCCACTCAACCGGCCCCTTCTGGTTTTTGCCTGCATGTATCCAATGGTCACAATTTACTCTGGTTTCTTAAATTTCACAGCATTTTGCCACTCTGTACAAACACATGCCTCAGTTTACACAGCAACAAGGCATAGAGTTGAGGTGTTAACGTTAATAAATAACCTGTTATCATTCTATATGGGCTGAGGAGACTTTTTTCTTCTTTTTCTTTTTCCTTTTTTCTTTGCTAAAGGCATTAAACTCCAATGTGAACACCATTCATTAAAGTTAATTTTACCCCTAACGCATTAACATTTTTAAAACAGATCAGTATTCAGAATGAAAAGAAAGCAATCTCTACCTTTACTTCTACCTAGAGACAGGAAGTTGTGCAGCCATTTAATGAAGGTGCAGAAGGGAATCCACCATGGGGGAGGCAAGAAAGAAGAGCAAGAAGAAGGATAAAAAAAATCAGGTCACTAGGCACACACACACACACACACACACAAATAACAGGAGCACAAGAACATGCCTGACACAAAAGCAACATCACACAACAAATCACTGTGTACAACGTAAATGGAAACACCACAGCTAAGGAACAAAGAAAAGCTTAAGCAGTGGACAGGATGACTAGCCAATGTCTGCTTAAGCCCTCATCTTTACTTTGATTTTCGATGGAGAAATGCAAACTGCTCATGCAATAGCACTTCAACAATCCACATCACACCACATCAAATCCCAAACAACAGATTAGAAGGGGATAAAAACATCTTGCAGAAATATATCTGCTAAATATATTCCGCCTACCAACCCTAATATGTTTGTATAGAACACTGGCACCACATAGAATATATATTTATACACATACATACATTTACATATCTTATGCATATCCCACACATATAAAGTAAACATTCATCAAAGTGGAGTAATATGGAGGTGATTGGCAAGGATAGGCCTTGGGGTGAAATGAACCAGCGGCAGTGGCAGTGGCTTGAGATACAGAAGGCAACAGACTTTAAACTATTCAACCAGGCAAGTGGTTGTGGACAGGATTGGTGCAAACTAGCCTGGGGCATTCTGCTCTCCACATACAAACCAGGTCGCAACTTGCCATGTAAGTACCAATTGCTTTCCTTCATGTAATTGGGTAGCAGGAGTCATGCACAAGCATACTGGGTGCAAGCCACAGCAGAGAAGCCCCAGCCTGGCAGGAGGCAAGCGGGGAGGGGTGGCCCTGGGCTCCAAGTGGTGGCATCAGGTTGCAGAGGGACTAGCAGGAGCTGGTATAGATGGTGACATTTTACTGTGGAGCTAATTAGTCAACTCCACAGTTAAAGCACACATGTAGATGTACCCACTGGGACTAAGTGGGGCCACAAAGGTTTGATATACTGGTAATTCCCAAGAAGTGTCACTCCCCTCTCTTGACTTCCTATCATATTCAGGTTTTAGGCTTCTGATTTAAGACCAGCAACCAAGACATGCCAAGGGCACTATTTCTTGCATTTACTTTACTAATAGCACATGAATATCTCTGAGCACGAAGGCCAGCTGAGCAGTAAATAGAACCAAAAAGCAAGTGAAGTGCCTTCCAGAGTTTGCCCAGGTTTTCTGACGACTCGAGGGAGTTGACTCCTGTCATCTAGGCTGGACCCAATCTCCCCATCACACTGGAAGAGCAGGCTAAAAGAAAAGCCTTTGTCTTTCTTCCTATAGCTCCCACAGCTGTCCCTACTGTGTGGTAAGAGCTTTGTTCTGTACAAAGAACAGTCATATACAAAATCTCCATGAGGTACATGGCAACTATGCCCCTTTCCCCAGTTAAATTGATCCTTTCCAGAATCTGGCTCTATCTTCTTACCACTTGGACTCTCTTTAACAGCTAGACCTTCTTTTTTAAGGTCTGTGACCAAACTGGTACAGACCATTCTAGCAATAGCATTACCCAAACTGTATGTGCACATCTATATTTCAGTTAGAAACTTACTCCCTCTTGTATGAAGTACCCTAATTAACTCTTTCTGCTGCAGCCTGTAAATCTGGAACAAGCTAATCCTCAAGTTTGGTCCCATTCATCTACCTCACCTAAGTCATAAACTCAGGGGTGGGCAAAATGCAGCCTGAGGGCTGGATGCAGCCTACCAGGCCATTTTATCTGGCCCGCAGGGCCTCAAAAAATTTAGAAAATTTATATTTATCTGCTCCTGACTGCCTGTCATGTGGCCCTCAATGGCTTGCTAAAACTCAGTAAGCGGCCCTCCGCCCAAAATAATTGCCCGCCCCTGCATTAGGTACTTCATAACTGCATTAGTGAGACAAGGATGCATCTCCAATGATGCTCCATGTATTAGCTATATACTTATTCAACTAAATCCTCTCAGAACCAGAGCTCTCTCTTCCTCTCCCTCTCCCTGTATCAGTAACTGTCTCCCCAGTTCCTTCGTTCTAGTCCAGTGCCCAGAGTGAGACCAGTGAACCAATTCTGTCACAATCAATAGGCCCGTAACAAAAGCCAGGCTGAGATATTAAAATATGGACTATGATTTAAACCTAAATCTCATTTGTAGCCCATCCTGGGGTTAGCCCTGTTCATTTTTCAGTGCATTCTGTTCCATGCATATTTGAATATTTTAAGCTGCAGATGCAGAATGTACAGACCATTATATGCAATTTTCTTCAAGGCGTATAATGAGGTAGGATCATGCCATGAGGGCTATTAGCATGTTTTTGCAAAAATTTTGCTCTTAAAAATACAAAAGCAAATATTGAGGGCTGCATTTGCCAAGCAAGGACAAAAGTCATTACCAAAGGCCTCAAATGGAAGAAAGAAAAAGAGAAAATGCTTGGGGGCATTCATAGAAGAGAGGAAAATTTCTCTTTTCCTCTGTTTACATTTACTTTCAGTTGTATCCACCCCATTATATGCACCATGGCTCTCTTCAGCCTCGCAGAAACCTCTCTCCTGGACATTAGTAAAGGAGGTCTCAATTTGGCAAATAGCCATGGATAACAGAGAGTCAAAAAAGGAAAAATGCATATGGTATGACTGACAAATCTAGCCTGTGCCACACACCAAGTTGTCTTCTGCATGCCAGGCCAAACCAGAAAGAAACACAGATAATCTTCAATATTTATTCACTAGGAAGAAAAGGAAAGATGAAGGACTAACCTTGTTCACCCATCATCAGGTGCGAGAGGCCTTTGAGAAAGAGAGAGAGGAAGTGAAAAAGAAAGAACAAAAGAAATAAAGAGAAAGACATATATATATATATATATATATACACACACACACACACACATATATATATATATATATACACACAAATATATATTATATATATATATACACACATATACACACATGTATTTATAGCAATCACTTATGCAATCTAATACGTCCTGGTATTAGTGCTCACATACTTCCAACAGGCTAAGTATGGATATCATCAACCATCATCCACACACACACCACTGCTTCCCAGATCAAACAGGAAAGCTTACATCAATCACAGGTAGAGAAAAATCTGATGTCAGTTGTAAGACTGCATACCCATATAGTTACGTGTCTCAGGGGATGCTTAATTGGACTCATGTTACGTAAGCTTCCAGTGAAAGCCATGTGAATTTTCTAGGGAATGGCTCTCATACTCCTTGACAACCTAAAGTCTGGGCACAGCCCCTTGAGCTGGTCATTTAGGACTGAAGTTTGTGTTGATCAGAGAAAGGGAGGCCAGTATACTGCTATGGCTGTTCTAGATTAGCCAATTGTGTTAACTGCACGTACACACACACAGCTGTACTCATTCATGAATGCAGCAGCTTCAACAGATAATTTTTAGGAGTTAATAATCACCTGTCAAACCTACTAATTAAAGTCCAGAAGACCAGCATCAGAAGCAGATCTCAGAGGGACTTGGAAAAGAAATCTTGAAGCCTATTTTTAGTACCAATCCATTTTCTGTTCTTTGCCATTAACTATTGGAGATATGTCTCCAAGGGACAATGTGGGAATAACCCTAATGCTAGTCTCTGTTAGTCAGGGATGAAGCAGCAAGTGGTACAGCCACCCATCAGTGCAAGAGGTCAGAGGCCAAATCTATTTGGGGAAATGAGGCAGGAGTGATTATTTCAATTACCTGCCCCTACCTTGTGAGAACCAGTAGACCCCATCTCCAATAACTTCATTTTGGCATAAACCAAAATCTACTGCCAACCCCAATGAAAAAGAAACAATCACCCCCCAGCTGCAAACATGTTTGTTGTGCAGTTACATTTGTTGTGCAGTTACATTTGCCCCAGCAAGCCTATCTCATGTGATCCTCAACTGCTCTCGACCAGCTTTTCTGAACTTTCACTTCTTACCTTCTCCCCATCTCTTAAACAGCCCTGTCTATCCTGGAGATTCAGCTTGCTAGACCTGTGCTAACATGTACATAAACCCACAAACACCTATTTGGTTCCATTCATTATGGACGTCAAACATAGCTACTAATGGTTCGTTATTTCAGGGGGACCAAAAGGCCAAGTGAGTCTATTAGAATGAAAGATTTTTCAACAAGCAGCACAATAAGTCTGAATTTGTTTATTTATATCTTTTGTAATTTTTCCCCTTGTTCTGGTGCAGGATTTGAAAGTCCAGATTAGCCCAAGATGATGTTCACCCACAGAGAACTCCATGCCAGATAAAGGGATTAATAACTGTAAAGTCTAAGGAATGCAAATATCTAAATGTTCTTGAAGACTATTGTGGATTTAGAAAAACAATCACAAACACAGGATAGGTTTAGAAAGCATTTTTTTTTAACTATAAATAGCCAAATCAGGTTTGTTTCAATGGGACATATCCTTTTTTTAGTTAGAAGACATGATCTAATTCTATAATTTGACTTCATCAGGGAGTAGTGGTAAGTTTCTGGCTGCATTTTAACCCATTAGTACCAGTGGGCAAGTGTCATGTTCAGATTAACACTCAAAAAATCTAAGCACATAGCCCAGGGTTGCCATGTAACTACCTGCAATGATACCCAGAGAGAAGATACAGACCTTGACTCCTCAGCCCTTCACTATGTCAGAAAAGAGGAAGGCAGTGGCTAGGAGCTGTTTGACAGATCACCTGACAGGCCTGGCACAAAGCACAGGGCATCTGGAGTGAGGAAAAAGCTGGTAAGGAACTCCCTTCCAACACTTTGATGGGCCTAGATTCTAGTGTTGTCCTGACTAGAAATATTATGTAAAAATGATTTCCTAAAGTGATTTCTGCCCTGTTCTACTTCTGGTCAAATTCAAAATACAGGAACAGCTTATCATACTAGATTTTTCACCTGATCTTTTAGTCCCAGCTGGACACAAGAAGTGCAGAGATCACTGTAAACTAATGGCCAAAAGGAAGCATTTTTCTAACACGAAGGAAAAAGATTGGGACAGACTGCAACACAGGCAGACAGCACAGCCAGGTTCAAAGGGAACTAGACAAATTCATGGATTAATAGTTATTTATAGCTGTTGAACAGAGCAGTTGAAGATATTTCCTCTGGCCTCTGTAAACCAATAATGACAGATGCCAGGGAGATAATGAATAGGGGATAGATCACTTTAGATATATCCAGTTCAATGCCCTCCCTCTAAAGCATCCATCTTGGAGACAGGATATTGGGCTAGATGGACCAGTGGTCTGACCCAGTATGGTACTTCTTATGTTCTACAGGGGAGAGAATATTTGTTATTTGTTCTTGTGGTTTGTCCTTCTATAGTCCTTACTCAGATCTTTGTTTTGTAAACAGAAGGCCAAATATTCCCAACCCTAAATAATTATTTCTCTCACCTGAAAGTATTCATTCCAAGCAAATAAAAGTTAGAGGAAAATATGAGTGAAATCTCTAGTTCTCTCCAATACACCATGAATATCCAGGACCTTCAAGCTCTGGGGTCCTAAATTTGTCCTACCTTCCATTTACATGTGTACCAAAGAGCTCTATTAGTTATGCTAAAAACAACAGTGAAAGAAGGCTGAACTGATATTGGAGTCTCTTTTTAAAGATCCAAATTGTCTGTTACCCTATTTTCAAGATTTGCCAAAATACATTATATTTGAGATGTCATAAATTTTTGGAATACAAAAACCAAGGTCACCCCAATGTGGTATGATAACAGATCTAAAAAGGATGTGTATACTCCAAGGTTTTAATACAAGAGGTACAAGAAATTTGCAAAGCTGAAAAATCAGGGTAGGTTTTGCCAGACCTCTAGGCATCCATGCAACCATCACTATGGTATATGGGCATCATCCACAAATGTCAGTAAATCTTTCAGCAGTCTTAGGCTGCAAAATCTCAGGGCTGCAAAATAAGGCAAGGTAGAAGTGGGAAAGGGTCACATAATCCCCTATGTGCCAAATGCCATATTTTCACACATCTAGTCTTTATTACAACGAACTATTTGTTTTATGTATGTGTCCCAGTGTTAGGTTAGTGCTTGTTAAAGTCTATTCAGTTGACTGAATTGAAATAAGAGCCAAATAGAGAATGACATAAAAGGGAAAAATTACTGTATTTACCCAAAAAGAAGATGACCCTGACAACCCCCTCAATAATTAGATTTTACATAAGGAAAACATATACATTTGTTGTAATTTTCCAGGTACATAATCTAATTATTGGAGTTTGCCTTGAATTTGTCCCCCTCCCACTGCTACAGCAGGGAAAATAAATCTGGGGGTTCAGACAACCCTTTGCTTTCTACTTCCCCCCAACTATTTCCTCTTACAGCTCCTTCCCCCTCTCCCTTCTTGTCAGACACTGCTGTCCCTGAATACATGGAAGTGAAGAGCAAATTAAAAAACAATAACCTTGAAATTAAACATGGCTGTAGCAATTTGCATATAGTACCTATGAACTTAGTTTATCCAGGACTGATGTAGATTACCATGCTGCACTAACCTATCCTTGTGGTAGGTTCCCAGTAGCATCTCGGCCTTTTTGGCTAAGATCAAACGTGCATTTTTTGGCACCAAGGGGAGGAGCGCCTGGTGAGGGCCATCCCAGCCGCAGCAGGGGAGATCTGCATTTTTGGCACCAAGGGGAGTGTGTCAGGGCTGCCCCTGGCTCTCCTAGTACCAGCCCGGTATTGCAATACCTCCAGGTCCAGTGCCAGTTCCCTGGGGAGGGAACACCCACCCATTTTTTTAAGGGCCACACAAAAAAGCCTCCCGTCAGCAAGTTTTCCCAATATGTGCTGCATTTTATAGTCATGCTCAGTGTTGGATGTTTAATTACCTTCATACTTGTTTTCCATTACTGAGCACATGCTGCTTTTTGAAGCAGTTTTATGATAGATAACATATTTAGTGAGGTTTTCTGCATGTGATTATAAGCCAAGGGGCTATTCTCCCCATGCCAATTGAAGGGGGACTCATCTTGTATTCAAGTAAATACAGTAGTTCAGAGAGAATCGCTCATTTCTTGTGAACAAAGATACGTCCAAGCTACAATTTGGGTCTGAATGCAAACTTTTCCAAACCCCCCGTGTATTTGGATCTCAGCATTGCCATCACAAATTGAATGCGACAGCCCACTATCCTATCTCCAACAAGGGCTAGTAGGAAATGCTACAGAAAAAAGAGGTATGTAAAAATGCAATAATGAACAGTTATAGAATAACCAGCCAGCAGAGGAAGCTTATTTTCAACCTGAGAGAGTTACTGTTTCTCTACTTCTGAAAGCAAGAACTGAGTGACACTGAGGGAAAAAGGGCACTGTTCCTGAGGGAAGCCCACAGTATCTTTCTGAATGAATGATCTATTCTAGAGCAAAGAATTATACCTCTGAAAAAAAGCAGTGAACCAAGCCTGTTTAAACTTTCTTCCGTCAGAGAGAGTATGCGTTGATGCAGATCAACCTGCATGGAGCCTGTATTTGACATGAAGACAAAATTGCTATGGTCTGGGACATACTGACCAAAAAGTTGAGCTTCTGTTGTGTCCTAATAGGGATCTCTGCCTATCGCTACTGGCACTTCCTATTTTGGCTTGGGGGTACTGTGGATTTTTCAAACCTGCTTCAGAATCAATCATTTCTGAAAGGTTATTTTTTTTTGACATTGCAAAATAACTTTTCTAAGTATTACATTGGAAAAAAAAAATTAGTGCCCCATTCCACTTTCCATATCAAAGCAGAGAAATTAAATAGTGCTAATTGCACAAAG